CCATTGACCAATCAACCGTAAAGGCATCGATCGCATAACATTCCGGATTCCACCACCTTGAACAGAAACGCTTTAACTGTTTCGTCCTCAGACTCGCAAAGCAATCTAGCATATGGGGACCCCACAAACGCTCGATTTGTTCAAAAACAGCCGGGTTTAGCTGCCAATCATCTGTGTCAACTATTTTCGAATAGTAGTCCGCCAGTTCATTTTGTTCTCTGGGAACCCATTCGGCAATCAGGCGGATTCCGTGTTTCATGCACACCTGGAGGATTCGCATGGCCTCCCTTTGCAAATGCTCCCTTCTGCTGCCCACCTGGATAATGTGCACAGCTGCCTGGTTATCGCTTCTGTGAATGCAGATACCTCCTTCTAGTTTGTGTGCTAATGATTCAAGCACCAACGCGATTGCTCTCAATTCTCTCCACGTGGAGCTTCTTCGGTCATTCAAAATCTCATTGGACCACTCTCCTCTGGCTACCTCGACTGCACTGCTGTCTACTAAAAATCCGCCCCAGCCAGAGTCGCTCGCATCGGACCAGGTCAGGACCGTTGCCTTTGGGCAGTTTTTCCAAAATGGTTGGCCGTGCCAGTCTTCAAAAACCGTGCTCCAAAATTCCAAGTCGCACCTTGCCGCATCCGGCCATTTCACTGGGGCGTACCAAGAACTCCTAGACAATATCATGCTGTAGAATGCCCTGGTACGCAGACGGCAAATTGGCCCGAGCGCAAGCGACATAGACAACAGGAAGCCGGCTAGCCTCGCCACTTCCCTCGCGGGTGGCGCTGCTAGACCGCTCAGCCGTGCTAGGCACTCTTTAAGCCTCGCCACTCTGCGCTCTGTCGCAAAAATTCGACCCTCTTTGAGGTCAATGCGCATGCCTAGCATTTCGACCGTTTGTGATGGCTCCCACTGGGATTTTTGTTCATTGGGCACAAACCCAGCTCTCAAGAGGTCAGCTTTCATCTGTTTTGCCACCACCTTTGCCCCTTCGACAGTAGAGTGCCAACCAGACCCGTCGTCATGTAGAGCTGACATCTTATGCCCAACTCCCTCCAACGCCGCAGTAAAACACGTGTCACTTTTGTGAAAACATAAGGAGCCGTGGAGAGGCCAAACGGTAACACGCAAAATACATAGGTTGTGATAGTTCCCTCCGCATTAAACCACTTAAACCCCAAGTACTTTTGATGCTCCTGTGCAATTTCAATGTGGTGGTACCCGCTTTTCAGGTCAAAAGTAGTCACGTAGTCGCCCTTTTAGTAGACTCTTGCGATTGTTTTCAGGTATTCCATTTTTGAATTTAAATTTCGCCAGATAAGTATTGATGTACCTCAAATCCAAAATGAGTCTTAACTTTTTCCATTATTTACCACGCCTAAAGGGCTACAAATCACTGCCTCCTCACTCTTGAGGGTGAAACCAACCACGGAAGAGGAGAAAAAAAGAAAATGAAGAGCACGTACACAAAGTGGGAAGGGATTAGCAACTTACAAAGCAATGGGATGCTCAAAGAGCTATGCATCGGAAGTGGGGACTGTGACTTTGTTTACTGGGAGATACTGAAGTGCTGTCTGACGAGAGTATGGAATTTGGGCATATCTGGAGCTTTTCTAACACTGGGAGGAAGTTATGGTATAACTATTTAGGAATAGTTCAAGAGCGTGACAGACAGAACTGTTTATCATTTCCTGGCGTTATTAATTGAATGGCACGACTTTCAGGGCTCCTTTTTTGGTCTTCATGAAAAATTGGTATTGTGAACTCGATTCCGCCTCATTCAAGTAGTAAAAATTGAAAAGCAGTCCTGAAAAATTAGAAATTTGGTCCGAAAATCACCCCTTCGCGGACTATGCCTTTTGACTCGTACAGTTCGCTGTTAAACAGACTGCAGCACGTGTTGTGCGAATCGTACAAGATTTTGCCGCTCACCCCAGCCGTCCCGACAGCCTCTTACGTCCTGTAACGTCAACGTTGCGTCGAATGAGCACTAGGCTTAAGAGAAATTTGTCAAGGACCAACTGGACAAATACCTCAACGACTAAAACTCCCTACCACGCAATTTGCATACAGCTCCGGTCACTGGACGGAGGATGCCCTTGTGCGAGCACTGGACCGATGGAAGGATGCAACGTTCCAGAGGAGAACTACTGGCATTGTCATGATTGGTATTTTGACCGAGTCCAACATCAATGCCTCGTCACAGAACTGCATTCACTGGGTTTTTATGATAATATGATCTTAGACTGTTTCATCAGATACTTGTCGGTTGTCGCCAACGGATAAAAGTGGGCAGAAGACTGTCTCCTGAAGTGTCCGGGAGCAAAGCTGTGCCACAAGCAAGTGTCATCGGTCCGCTTCTTTGTGTTTTGTATACACACGCTATGAATGAAGTTCTTTCCGCCATTAGCAATCAGGAGTTTGCCGACGATATCGTCATTGACTTTCCACACTCAGATCAATTGTTCCTTGTTCAGACCCTCTTGAAAAGCATCACCAAGCTCGCTAAATGGCTGGAGGAACTCGGGCTCCTCCTTGACAAGAGAAGAACCCGAATCATGTTCGTAAAGCAACGAGGGCAGCCAAACCCGCTTTGTCTCGTCTACTGTAATAGGGATGAATTTGCCACGGGGTCCTCAGCAAGTTACCTTGGTGTTACCATGTTCGACGACCTGAACTGGCGTTCCCATATCCCGTAGATGCGCGGCATGTGGATACGCTGAATCTTCAAGCTCCGCGGACGTGGTATGGTACGTTGCCATGATCCGGGGGAAACTGTGCTACGCCGCATACTCCCTCTACCCCTCTCTCACTGCTCCGCACAGTCTTCTGATTGCCTAATCCCGTCGCCATCCAGCCCCTGCGCAAGACACTTCGGGTGTCCACCCTTGAACAGCTCTGCCGTCAGAAAGTCATTGTCTTCGTCTTCCGTTGTTCTCACTATACTGGCAAGATACTGGCGCAAGGTGTGAACACTCAACTAACTCACATAGGTGATAAATCAAAACAATGGGCATAGCGCAGAATGGAGGTGCAGAATGAACCCTACACGACACAACGATTAGAATTAGCAAAGTCAATCACAATGAGAAGAAGAGTATAGTGTTAGACGCTAACCCTGTAGTGCAGATCTGGATGGATACGTCGATTAAGAAAACCGCACTTCTCGACTATGCCACACCCCAACAGACTTCCTTTCACCTACCACTGGTCGAATATTCAATGTTCGAGGTTCCTGAAGTATTTGCCTTCTGTATTAAGCAATTTTCAGATATGACGTTGGACGTCCATGATGATTTGTTGGCTTTCACATGGCGTCTACTTTTCACCTATCTTTTTTCCCACCCAGTACTCTTTGTAACGTGTAATCTAGCGCAACCTACTCCTGTATACCTCTCCTTCTCATTGTGATAGTTGTGTCTTGTAGGCTTTATAACACCTCTATTATGAATTATAATTTGTGTTGATTTGTCACATATGTGAGTTAGTTGAGCGTTGACAATCAACGTGGCAAGTAGCAGTGCGTTCAAATTCTGTGATTGGCGGTACGGTCGAACACACGGTGCAGAGGAAGAGGGGTGGAACACTATGCCAACCGAAAGTGCCTTCCCCATCATAGTCCTTGCCGCCACTGGAACCACCACCAGTGCTATTGGAGGCTGGAATTGGGGTGGAGCCGTCAAAAGCCACAGTACCACCAATCACAAAACTGAACCCATTTCTTTCACACAATATCCCGTTGTCAGGACACCGCAGCGCTTGAGCCGTTCGAACAGAGACCGTGGAAGTCTCCTGCGAATTACTCAACGGGGATTTATTCAAGGATTGGTCAAATCCCACGCACAGCAGCGAAGGAAACATAAACCAGGAGCAAATCGAAACACAATTTGGAGGCGCTGATAAGCTACAAACAGAGACGCGTGGAAGACGTAGCAGGGAGACTGACTGGCAGTGAAGATGCGTTGCATGACGATGCGGCGGATGACGGCGAAGCCGATGACGATGAGGCGGCTGGTGATGGCGATGGAACGGACGTTGAGGAACCAGGCGGAAGGGAAGGTGATGGAGCTGATAAGGGTGAAGTTCGTAAGAAGTCAGCTGTGTACTTGCATTTGCTATCACGTCCCGATTGTGTGAGCGTGTATGGTGATTCCTATTTCTCCGTAAAGTGTCATGCCCGTTATTTACAGCAGCGTGAGGTCCTGGAAGCTATTCGAATTCGGACGCAAAAGCCTGATGTTTGTAATCAAAAAGAACATGTTGTAGCACTTAGGTTACTTTCGTGAGTCTACAACCCTTGTTCATGATTTGTTTATGCACTTTCGAGGCGCATTTTTCATGCTCACTTGTCACACTGACATTTTTTCTTTTTTGTAGGTCTCACTTTCGTAGTACTTACTTGTCATTTGTAAGATTCACTTGGATTTTTAATCTTTGCTTTTTGGCTTGATCACTTTAGTTGCTACCAGGTTAGGCCTCTTTTTTCTGTGCCGCGCTGATGAGTTCTCAAGGACGAAGCAGTTCTGTCCGCATATTGAGTATTTGAATATTTATTATTTAAAGGGTTTCCCAAAGGCATATCCCGTAATCAATAATCTCTTAGCCTCTATCAGGTTGGACACCTATTTCTCTGAGTTGTGCTGACGAGTTCAGAAAGGATGCGACAGTGCTGTTCGCAGATTGATTCATTCTAACATCTAGAAAGCTAGGGCCATCGTCCTTGTCTAATTATTTCTGTTATTTTGCACGACACTGACCAACGGTACTGACGTTCTATACCTAACTGGCAATCAGCTCTAGCACATTTTGGAAAGTTCTAAGTTATAGAAATAATATAAGGAGGGGAAGGTGAGCGCAACCAAGATAAGCACGGGCTGAAAATCTCAGCTGTGAAGGACGTTGGCGGATGTACACGTACGTCGATGACGTTACTGGCAAGACCTTTGGACAACACGGTCAAACTCGTGGTTTGACCGGTTGTCCAAAGGTCTTGCCAGTAACGTCATCGACTGAAAGCAACTTTAAACGGAACTGGTGTGGCGCAAAGACGCTAAGATAAATTTAAGGGAAAGGTATGCGAGCAGGAATCATGCAAAACTGAACGCCTGAATAATATCTTGGTCCTTGGTTGCTTGGGCAATATTCTTTTCTAGAAATTTATCTTTGGCTCTCCATCCGAGTCAATTCTTGCACACCTGATGAGCCATCCTTATCTGTACGGCGAAACAATCATCCTGTGCTGCATGTTGTTTCTGCTTATTGTCCATCTAAATTGTCATAGTCAACGTACAGTGCTGTTTTATTGAGGCGTTCGGTTTTCCTTGGTCCTTTTTTTCTGTATATAAATTCATCCTTGGCTCTCCATCTGAGTCCATAGTGTGTTTTCAAAATGATTCAGTGCATTCAGTGCAAGTGCAGGATAAGACAACAAAAAGAATAGAACGTACCCATGGTAGTGGCTGGATCCGTAGGAATAACTGCAAAATATAACGGAGAAAAATGCACACACACAGATATCAGCACACAGATACCAGCACACAGATACCAGCACACAGATACCAGCACACAAAGCACATACGTTATGGACAGAAAGACATAAACATACTATGTCTTTTTGTTTCATATAATTATTACAGGGTGCGACATATCTCTCGGCCAATGTAAAAAATGTTGGTATCACCTCCACCACTACACTGCGCTCTCAGCCGACTACACCCTCCAGCACACAACCATCACCACTGCAAGGACATTTCTATCCTGTGTTTCTATCCTGTGTTTCTATCCTGTCACGTTTATTTCTTCACACACTTGTTACCTAATACATGGCTCATCAGTGACGGTACTTCGAAGTGGACGTAAGGGTGATTAGAATATACATGACCAAACTGCTGTGACAGGGTTTTTCACACACAAAGCTGAGCATTACAGTGTTATGCCCCAGTGGCTGCATGGGCTATCGACGTCGCGGGTCGTGAGGTGAGTTTTCAGGCTTTCATGGCGATTTCACAAGTGCACTACACAGACTCTTACCAGTTACACAGTACACTGATTCTGGCATAATAATATTATTTCTGCATTGAAAGTGATTTTCCTAAGGGTGTGCAGACTAAAATAATAAAATCCTAATTTTCGGGCCAGGCCTTCAGGAATATTGATAGTATTAGTGATAGATTTTCCGCGCTGAATTTCTGACGCTGCATGCATGTCCCATGCGCGTCAACAGTACTTCACACTTTCCTTTTCACCACACTATCACCTCAGCTATGCCTAACCTTGGCAAGATGGTAGTGTAGTCCATGTTCCATTAGCTTGGCAAGTCACTGAAGACGGCATTGAGATAGTATGGAAACCAAGCATACATGATACGGTAATGCCACTACCAGTAGTACTCCTGGGTATAGTCATCACTGTTGTTGAGTTTAACTCTGGACAATGTGTGGCTGTGCATAGAACCAAAATACCAAAGAAAACAGATCAATGCATACCGAAAGACCAAATGGAAAGCGAACTCCAATATCAACAGAGTTATCTTTAGGCAGAGGCCATGGTCAATAAACGGATATTGCTCCGAATTCTCATGATCTTGTTACAACGCAGAGGTATGTAGCTCCAACGTTATGTATTAAATTATGAAAGTAAGACAGCTGAAACGGACGGTGTTCATTCGAATGCATTCCCGGGTCTTTAGGCTCTACATGATTGGTATCAATTCCCAGGGGTACAGCTGTGTTCAGTGACGAATTGGAGCAATAATCTACTTCTTAGAATGCCATGAAGCAATTGGCTCGCGCCACTGCACAATAAGTTAGATATCGACATTAGTGGTCACCAGCATTCTGCATCCATCATAGCACATGCTATAGCATATCTTTTGAAACGCAAGAATCGGGTTTGTGCTATAAGAGGGCAAGGCACTTACAATGCCATGAAAAAAGGTGAGAAATAACACCAGTAACGAAGTGACACTAACAGTTAGTAATGAAGAGTACCAATTTTGTGGCCAAAGCCGAAACCAAATGAGCGCTAACTGTCACAAGATAAATGTAACATATCAGCAACAGGGATAAGTGAGAAAACATGTGCTCAGGGCTGGCCAATCAAACCACAAAATACTACTTGAACAATTATATGAAGGAACTTACGTTGACATTTGCCCATTTTTTTTTTTTTTTTTTTTTTTACTAAAAAACACAGCCCTACTAATAATCAGGGGAAGAGGACAACTGAAATGACGCTGGACAACAAGACAAAGGGGAGTAGGGGCGATGTGCCGATGTGGTTGGCGAGGCTCATCCGACCGGAGGTCTCGGAATCATAGCCTACGACCAGGCATTGTTAGGAATGCAGCTAGGGAGGGAGGGAGATCAAGTGAGAAAGAGAGAGAGAGAGAGAGAGAGAGAGAGAGAGAGAGAGAGAGAGAGAGAGAGAGAGAGAGAGAGAGAGGGGGAGAGGGAGGGAGAGAGAGAGGGAGAGAGAGAGAGAGAGAGAGAGAGAGAGAGAGATAGAGAGAGAGAGAGAGAGAGAGAGAGAGAGAGAGAGAGATAGACAGAGAGAGAGAGAGAGAGAGAGAGAGAGAGAGAGAGAGAGAGAGAGAGAGAGAGAGAGAGAGAGAGAGAGAGAGAGAGAGAGGGGGGTGAGAGGGAGGGAGAGAGAGAGAGAGAGAGAGAGAGAGAGAGAGAGAGAGAGAGAGGGGGAGAGGGAGGGAGAGAGAGAGAGAGAGACAGAGAGAGAGAGAGAGAGAGAGAGAGAGAGAGAGAGGAGAGAGAGAGAGAGAGAGAGAGAGAGGAGAGAGAGAGAGAGAGAGAGAGAGAGAGAGAGAGAGAGAGAGAGAGAGAGAGAGAGAGAGAGAGAGAGAGAGAGAGAGAGAGAGAGAGAGAGAGAGAGAGAGAGAGAGAGAGAGAGAGAGAGAGAGAGAGAGAGAGAGAGAGAGAGAGAGAGAGAGAGGGAGAGAGAGAGAGGAGAGAAATAAATAAATAAAATAAAACAAGAAAGAGATGAGAAGAGAAATAAAACAAGAAAGAGATGAGAAGAGAAATAAAATAAAACAAGAAAGAGATGAGAAGAGAAATAAATATAAACAAGAAAGAGATGATGGACGAGGGTAGTTGCTCATTGACGGGTGGCATAGCCTCACAGGGAGTCCGTAGCCCAGAGCCAATTCTTTTGACGCAAGTGGCGATGGACCTTCGTCTTGAAGGATTGGAGAGACTTCAACTGGGGCATCGGATCCGGAAACATGTCTTGCGGAAGCCTGTTGCATTCATCCAATACACCATATGGGAACGAACGCTGGAGAAAGTTGGGGGCCGTAGGGAGGAGCACTGCTTGTAGCTGATGCTGGGGGCGGACACGGAGCTGCGACCTTGTCCGCGGGACGAGGCTAGCTTCCTGGCGAGGCGGCACGAGCGCAGAGAGATCTGGATGGTCTTGAAGGCACATTAGCTTGTACATGTACGTGAGAGCGTACACTTGGCGGCGGGCAGCTAGGCTCTGCAGCAAGGCGTCAGGACCAATGATAGCAAGGGCCTTCCGCTGTACTCGGTCGAGACTTTGCAGGTGAGAGTTGGCTGCGCCCATCCATGTCAATGGTGCGTATTCGAGTACAGGGCGTACGAAGCCTCTGTACGTTGTCAAGCGTCCTTCACGACCAAGGAAACTTGATGCTCGACGCAGAAATCCTAGTCGGGCTACGGCACGAAGAGAAACATTGCGGAGGTGGCGTCTGAAGGTGAGTTTGCTGTCGAAGGTCACTCCCAGAAGCTTCAGCTCGTCCCCACAGGGAATATCATGGGCTCCGAACGTTAGGTCTGGGAGTGGCCAGGGGTTGCGGTGGTGGCCAATATGCAGCAGCTGCGACTTTGTCGGCTCAAAGCGAATTCGCCATTGTTCTCCCCAGCTACTCAATCGATCCAGGCTAGATTGCATGTCTGCAATACTGCCAGCAGAGTCATGTCTGGATCGTATGATGGTGTACAGCGTGGTGTCATCTGCGTACACACCCATTCGTGTTGATGGGGAAAGACAGGTCTCAGCATCGTTGACATACATCAAGAATAAGGTGGGTCCCAGGATGCTGCCTTGGGGTACGCCAGCTTTAATCTGGAATTGAGCAGATTCCTGTCCATTGACGATTGCGCTTAGTGTGCGATTCCCCATGGTCCATTGGAGGTTTTGTCCACAAATACAGTTGACAGCTGCCATTCCCACTACATGATTACAATCCAACACATTAGTGTCATTGCATTCCAACGTGCAACCTGGAGGGGAGAAATGATAATTATATCATTACCTTCGACCTTGTAAAGATGGGTATCGGCTTCAGGTGTCATCCTCCACGGGATTTTCCAGCCCCGCCATGATTTGAACCCGCGACCTTGTTTGTCCCGAGCACTACTCTAACCATCTAACCCATGGGACAAAGCCGAACCTAGAAGGCGCAGACAGGCTTTCACTCCAAGGGCTAAATGTGAATGTTTGTTTGCTTGGAAGAGATACTGAATATTCCTTAATATTTGGGTTGTCCTTGCACAACTGGTGGACTTCGAGGTAAAGACTTACTTTCACATAAAGGTTGACTTGGTCGCCACCTTCCATTGCCCTGGCATGTAGACTGGGTTATTTCCATTCTATTGTTGGACAGAAAACCTGTTATACATTCGATGGATACTGTGGTACCTGGTAGTGTGTTGAAACTGGCATCAGGTTTGTAATTGAACTTGGTGTCAGTGAGAGTAGGACATTGCACTGGGAACAAAGAGACAACATTCAATGCAGTTACTAATAATAAGTGAAAATCCCACAAATAAAACTGTTGATGTGATCGTTCATAGAGATAGAAGCAGACAATATTTTGGTACAATACGTGTGCACATCAGTGCTGTGCATTGTGATCTGCATGTATATCTGACATGTACATTTGACTTCATAGTCTAATATCTTCAAAATTTACCCTTGAAATTTGATAACAGTCTGCTTGTGGAACTTCAGCAAGGGGGGTATAGATCATGATAGATGTCTCATGCTTGTACAAACTCAAAACACGACGGCATCAGTGAATCAGATGTGCGGATCATGACGTATACATGCATGTATATTCTGTCCTCAGTCTCCTCATATACAACGGAAGCGAATGCCTGTGTAGCCCTTACAGCAAGTTTCACGGGTTTCATCCATCGCCGGCAGTATTTTGCATTCACCCTGAATGCCATATGCTACAGTTTGATGATCGCTGAATTGCGTGCAACTTGAAGTTACAGCTGCACAGCCTTTTGCATTCGTTGTATGCGTGAACTGCTCTGCTTCGAGCTGCCTCCACTTGCCCTGTTGGCTTATGTGATAGACCAATAGCAACACATTGTATATATACCATGCGTGCCTGAATTCGGTATTTCACAATATTGCAGAGCACTTCAAGATTCACGCGCGGACGCGCAGCAAATGCCACGTAGATGAGCTAGAGGCTGTTTACATTGCCAAAACCACAGCCTAAACTTTATAGAGAGAAGGAATTTGTCCCGAAACTAGTGCCATTTTGACCTCCCGCCTCTCTGTTATACTTTTTGTACTTTTTGGTGCAACTCACACAATCTATCACAATTTCTCCGCCGATATGCTGTATTTAGGAAACTTCACTTCTCAAGTCCAAACTCCAAAAAACAGTCTCTTCACTCCGATTTAAATTTAAATTTACATTACACCAAATTTTCGGCCCTGGCCAAGCATCAGGGTAATGAATGACAAAAATAATGTTAATTGCATACTAGTAGGTACTTATTGAATTATATGTATGAAGGCGACAACTAATGACACTGAAAATCGGAGAACGTTAACATGTTGGTGTGAATATGTTAGGTGACGATTATGAAGGAAATAATTGTAGGTGATTTATGGCTCAGCGGTACCGTGTGTTTGTATTGGGGGGGGGGGGGCTTCAATTGATCTCATTGGACAGATGCAAATACAGAGGGATAAATTGTCTAACCACATTTACGACATGCCCTGGCAACAGATTTACATATTCAAGGGTAGAATATCACTAACCCATAATCCTTCCTTGAATTGTTGGTGTGTGTTTACGTGTGTGCCTGAGTGTGTATCTGTGTGTATCTGTGTGTGCGCGTGTGTGTGTGTGTGCGTGTGTGCGTGTGTGTACGCAATCGCCATCGCTGTTCAACGCACTGCCACCGTCCAACGGCTAGATAACGGGACAAGTTCCCGCATATTTGTATCTGCTCTCGCCAGTTGCGCCTAGTCTCGCATATAGAGCGTCATCGGGTAGCGTAATCTTTCTCTCTCTCTCTGCTGCCCCTCTGGGGCCCACGTGACCCTAGTGAGTAGGTAATGGCTCTACAGGACAGGACAGGTGCGTGTGTGTGTGTGTGTGTGTGTGTGGGTGTGTGTGTGTGTGTGTGTGTGTGCATTGGCTACTAAGGGTAGTCGGCTAAGTGCGCTCGGAGGAGTAGAAGAGGAGGAGACATTATTGATATGTTATATAAACTATAAGTGGGCATCGTTGTACTTTGTCACATAATCACCGTGTACAGATTTGAGAACTAAAGTTTGTTTCTTTCTTTCCTTTATTCGAATTCGTTTACTTGAGTAATGGTACGAAAGGCCTAATCAGAGGCAACTGGCTTCGTCTCTTCGTGTGCCAATATATCCTCATTGTTAAAGAAATATATAACTTTAACGCTTTGGGCCTACCCTGAAGTGACCGCAAGCCGAAATTTCCTGCATTTTTGCGTGCATCGTTCTATTTTTCATCGCAGCATTGATTCCACTTGACAAATTGTGACATTACTCTGCTTTTTCTTTTGCTCATTCTTTCGTAAACGTTCGCTCCAATTCCGGAATGTCTTGAAGTGCATGAATGGTCTTTCGACTGTAGCCAACAGTGGCGGTGAAAGGTTTAACATGACTGATTGTTTAGTTGTCATCGCCCACAACACACTAGCTATTGGCTGAAAACTAGTAGTTATGAACAAGTAAACTTACCAACCTTGAATAGTGATAGAGACAGTGGTAGATATTGGCTGGGCGGCATTTATACATCTGTCAATCACACTTTGTGGACGTTGAGGAACTGAGCCTACTCCAATACAATCAAAGTTTGTAGTATACGATGTTGTACAGATGACATTGAAGATAACACCTGATGTATCACTTTCTGTAAACACAATCTGGGAATCATTCCGCTGGAAGCTCAATATAGAATTCACCATATTTGTATGTGTCACCGTCTGAATTATTTGTGAATCCAGAGATAATGTTGAGCTCCAAGATAAGTTAATAGGAAAGTTTCCACTTGACATGCATGGTATTGTGTACAAAGCACCAGAGTATGGCAATGTCAGTGATGTAGGTGATGATCCAGACCGAACTTGTTGAGCTGTACAAGAAGAACACACGGGTACAGTACTGAAATACATGATAAGACTGACGAGGCGAGTTCAGTCTTCATGGCATCTTAAAAGACCAACGCAGAGCTGGCCGTGCATTAACAGAAAAACTATTGTTGTAGCATGAAGAAATGTTTGCAGAAATAGTTACAGCCAATGGCGTGTACAAATGGTGGTGCAAGGGCGAGACCAAGCCCTTGGCGACTAGAAAACGACCCTCTGGGAGTAAATACTTTGGAAGGCGGACACCTGGATCAGTGAATTGTCTACGAAGTAATTACAAGTAACGTCGAGCACATTTCTTTTCCATCTCACAGGTTCACGCTTGCGTGATGATCAGGAAATACTCTGGTATGAATAACGCACAGGAAAGTAAGTGACGAATCGTTGCGCGAGGAAGACAGGGAAACGACGCATATACATGGTCTCACACCTGCTACCACTCTCACACAGTGTGTGACACACACGATATACACCTACACACATCCACGCGCGCATGCCATAACAACAACAAACAAACATAATTATACTCACACTCTTTCCAGCGTACGACCGCACGCCCACACTCATGCACACATGTGCACACTCTCACACACATACGCAAACACTCCGCCTCGCACACTCACACACACACACACGCATACTCACACGCGCGCGTGCGCACACGCACACACACATACAAGTACACAAACCACACATATGTTAAACACCTTCACCCTGCCCACTGGGACACTCAAACACAATACATCCACACTTCTCCATACATACATTTGATATCTGCTCATATTCACGCCGGCATACACTTTGAACTCATGCTCTCTCAAAGACACAATTTACAGGCGAACACCCCTACACTACACACACGTGCATACATGTAAATACTGTTCCCTCCACAAAATCCTCACATTTGCACCCAGGACACTCATCCATGCACACCACACATTCACCTATACCCATTGCACGCTCGGCTACAAACGCACACACTGGCACATCCACGCACACGCTTCACCATGCACCCACATGTATCCACATGCATATACAAACACACACACACACGTACACACCCAAATATGGCATGGTAGAGACGTGCTCTGCCAGCATGCATTTAGTTTCGCTGCTATGTGACTAGTCCGTCAGCGTAAATGGCATTATGTGTATGTACGGATGAGTGTCACTGTGAATGTGTGGTTTCTGAGTTACCCAGTGGGCGGGTTGAAGATGTTCAGTGTAGGTGTGAGTTTGTGTGTGTGGGGGGGGGGGGGAAGGGAGAGGATGAGTGTGTGCGTCTGTATGTGTGTGGGTGGGGGGGGGGGGAGCGCGTACGTGTGTGCATGATTGTGGAGGTGTTGGTATTGGAGTGAGTGTTAGTATATGTTTGTGTGTGTGGTTGTTTATTGCACGCGCACACGCGTGTGTATATGTGAGTGTGAGAGAGTGGGTGCGGGTGTGAGTACAAATATATGCAAGGTTCCCACTGTATTCCTAACGGAATGATTCTTCAGTTACTTTCCTGTGCATATACATTTGTAACAATTCCTCGTTCCAGACCAGAATAAGTATAGCCTGATGATCTCGCAAGCGTGAAACTCTGAGTTGCAATAAAGTTTCCACCATACACGAAGTACTTGTAAGGAAGCTGTGCCCTTCCGTATACTTTGTGCGTAGAGGGGAATTATCCTGTTTTGTAGAATGTTATTATGTCGCTGTGTTACTTACAATAATGTGTTGTTCTATAACCAGGCGCTAGTTCTAACTGTTGTCTGTTGTTGTCTAGGGACTAGTCGAAAGTAACGATTGCCGTCCTTGGGCATCATTGCAATGAGGCTTTCTTTCGAATTGCAGTCTTTGCATTTTTGTGTCTATGAAAAAGTCACGTATTGAGCATATGCATTATATACATTGAACAAGATCTCCCGTGGCTCACATATTCAGCACATCATTCCTATGGTTTGTATCTGGACACAGCACTATGTCTGTCGCTGTACTGCCTATGCACTCGAACGAGGACCAAGATTGCTAATACATGTGAATGACTCTACAGAAATCAACAGAATAGGACTTTCGGAAACGGTGCCAGGCATTTGTAGTAAGTCGCTCACATTATCCGCACGTGGTTTAATATCAGCAATTAGTAGATCACGCTTTTCATGAGAACTTGAATCCTTACTTGACAGACAACATCCTGCGTACCAGAGAATTCTTTCGAACCTTCCACTCAACAAACCTGCACGAAAGTACCACTCTTGCTCAACACGCAGTGTTTCGGGGAACTAACCCCTCATCAGCTGAGTTTTAGTACGCTAATGGGATGTGTCCTCCGACAGCACAGCAATA